AAGACTTCTTTGGCACGGGGACGATGGTGGTGGCCTTGAAGCAGGTCGGAACAACGGTGCTGCTCAGGGAGGTGTTGAAGATGTCCGTGAAAACATCTGCCAACTGGTCTGCACATTCCCTGAGCACCCTGCCAGGAATGTTGTCTGGTCCAGCAGCCTTCCGTGGGTTGACTCTGCGTAGAGTCTTCCTCACGTCGGCTGTGGTTAGACACAGCACCTGGTCATTGGGAGGAGGGGTGGTCTTCCTCGCCGTCACGCTGTTCTGTGCCTTGAACCGAGCGTAGAAGTCGTTCAGCGCATCTGGGAGGGAGGCATCACCGTCACAGGCAGGAGGTGGTGTCCTGTATGCGCCGCGTGTCTCTGCTGGCCTTGAAGTGGTTGTGGATTCTCTGAGCGTGCGTGCGCTTTGCCTCTCTGATGGCAATCAAGACCCAATCACGACAAAAGACTTCACCAGGAGAAAAAGGTGAAAGGTTGTAGACTGGCCAAGTCATTCAACAGACCTTAACCCAATTGGGCATGCATTTGCAAGCAAGGGATATGCAACCAAATATTAAGTGTTATATTTAATTTGTATAATCATTTCCTATAATTTTGCCCACCTGAAAATTGGGTAGTTTGCCACCAAAGGTGTTGTGTTCTAATTTGTATAACTTGTTGTGGCAACAATTTTTGTGGCAGCAGGGTGTGAGCGAGGATCAGCTGTGGACAGAGGGGAGGCTGGTTGAATGGGCGAGTAATGTATGATGATTCTCATCTATGTGTGATCACGACGAGTTAACTTATGTGAGTTGTTTGTCTTTCAGGGGGCCATGTAAATATAAGGAAATAAAATCTGTTTGATGTCTGGTTGTTAGTGCACCAGAGGTTTCTTTCTTTTTCAGTACATTCCAAATTGTTACTGGCTATCCCCAAAACTTCTGCAATGGCACTGAACTCAGCTTCAAAATGGCTTGTGTAGCGAATAGACAGCTGTCTGGTCTTAATGTCGGGTTACCCTTTTTATCAACAAATGCAGTCTTCACAGGTGAAACCCAGGCCTCAAGCCAAGAGTGGACATTCAGGGCTATTTGTTTAATGTTTAAACAGTCAATCTAACAGGGCAAAACTGGGCAACAAGAAACACCTGTTGATCACATTTCCCAATATTTTCCCTTGAAAAATAGGTGGTTTCAGACAAAAGTTGCCATGTTCTTTAACATATCTAGCTGTAAATATCAGGAAATGAAAGCTTAAGTTCTGGGCTATCATTTCATATTCTTTTGATCTCAAACACAAATGTCTTCAGTGTATAGCAAAAACAAAAGTCTTGCCGTTCCAATAGTCTCAGTGAGGACTGTACATCATGTGCTTGAGACAGGATGCTGATATTCATCATATAGAAGGTGCCACACGTAAGGTAAATGTGAGCTTGTTTCTCTGAAGCTGGATGTTAGTACAGGAATTCACTGTGGCCCCAATAGAGCCGTAAACACGCATGCATGGCACACATCTGATAGCCCGGTGCTACCTATGTTTAATATAATGGAATGTGAATAAATCATAACTAGAACTATAAACTAATTTTATATATATATATATATATATATATATATATATATATATATATATATATATATATATATATATGTATATATATATGTATATAAACTGATATAAGAAATTATAGTATATAGAAAACACTGAAATATATACAAATTGCTTATGCTGGAGAAAAAAGCTGAGGTTTTGTGGAAGCACAATGGATTAAAATGAATTCATGTCCCACACAATGATCTATGGGATCATACCATAAGTATGAATCACAAGAATTCTTCGTACAAGTGTTACAAATATGCTGGATGGACTTTTAGTACTATGCCGCACAAAGATTTGTAGTTATTGTTGTCATTTCACCCATTTTAAGCCATGTTATGTGGTTTTTTGCCTGGGCACCTGTTCAACCGGGCCATTGATGCTGAATGAAGGTGCATGGATGGAACCTGAGCTACATCTGATTTGAGTTGTGCAATTTGGTTCTGGTGCTCCACCAGGACGCTGCGTAACTATTTAGTTTAGGTAGGATTGTCAGTGAATTTGATGTGAATGGCCCCTTAGAATATTTCCACACTCCATCTCCCACATTGGAGCTTATGGCTCAATTCTACTCGCTGTTCCAGTTCAATGCATGCTTCCCTGGTGACTTTTCTGAAATCGGGGGTCCATGTTCTGGCAGTAGATAAGGAAAATTTAAATAAGGAGAATTTTATTAGCTATTTTTGTTGTAACGCATGATAAATAGTGAGCATTTTAC